CGCAAAAACTTTTGTGGTGCCGTATGTGTTGCTCGCGGGTATGGAAAGACTAAATTTTTGGGGTAACACGTCGGCGGAAACACTCTACTAAAAGTTCAGTCGCCTAGCTTTTATGGTTCCAGAATTGAAAGTGCGGGATATAATCGCAAACACACACAACCCCGTGACAGTGCGCGTTTTGTGCTGCTATTATACAGCACAGAATGCACAAAAATGGGGATTTTTCAAACGCATAAAAATTTTTCCAGACTTAACGAAGTTCTTTTGAAGGAACTGGACATTTCATTGACACTTTCTTTTTACCACAAAAGATCGCTTTTCATCATTAAATTAAGCCCTGGTAGATATTTAAACTGAGCTTCACTTTTGAATTTATTTGAATTATTCATTTTTGCGTCGGTAGGTTAATATTTTCCGCAGCGTTATCTGTTTTCCTTTCTCAGTTTTGAAAATGTAGTGAAATTGAGTGTTTGTCGAGTGAAAGCATTTATTGAGCGTTTGTCTTTTAACCGCAGTTCAACGTTCGAGAACAGAGGTGGAGGAAGAGAAGCGCTTGAGGGGTAGGGCAAAAGCTGTTTTTTGAGAACAAATGTGAGGTGGAGGAATCCAGCAGGCTTAATAACCAGGAGCCAATCTAGCTGGTGGACAGTGATCGCAACGTCCTTTCTGTCCTTCGCCACCAGGTTCACCCGGAGGTCCCTGGTGTCCCGCTTGGCCTGGCTGGCCGGGTTGTCCTGGTGGTCCGATATCACCTGGCGCTCCAGGGCCTCCATTTTCTCCAGCTGAAATCAAACACTTTTTTAACATTTTACTTACGCCAAAACCATTTGATTTGTAAATTTTCAAATGCATTTTTTCTAAGTCGATGTGTGAAACGTTTTGTCTGTGGCTTCCACAGTTCAAAAGTTCGCCCACTTTGTTGGCTCATTATAAATTTGAAATTATTTAAAGTGAATCAGTAAATCTTTTATTTAAACATACGTGCTCCTGGTGGTCCACGTGGTCCAGCACCTCCAGGTCTTCCCGGTGGTCCCGGTGGTCCTGGTGGTCCTTCGCCGCCGCCTGTTTCACGTCCTGGTTGACCGGGTGCACCCTTCATGCCAGGATTACCATTTCGGCCGGGCGGACCAGGAGGTCCTGGTGGACCACCCTCACCTGGTCCGCCATCAACACCTGGTGCTCCGGCATCTCCCGGTGGTCCCATGGGCCCTCGTGGTCCTGGATTGCCTGGAGGCCCTCCTGGCGCTTCGCATGGGCATTGCTCCGGGAATCGGTGAGCCCACTCTGGTGGTGCTTGTGCTGCTGGTCCTGGCGGTCCAATGTCGCCCATCATGCCATCAACACCATCCGCTCCTGAAACAATGTACAATTTACTCATCTGTTTAATTTCCGTGTTTGTCATTGTGCTCTGCAAAAACCGCACAATTCACAATTAGCAAAAACAGTTAGTTTCTCTGGTTCTCGAATTGGAAGTAGGTGGCTGAAAGCGCGACCATATAGACAAATAGACACACACACACACA